AATTTGTGTGATTTACATCTGTGATTTGCACAACAACTGTAAGATCAATAAATCTGTTGTATTGGCACCACGTGTCTAATATATATTTGGTATAGTGTGGATAAGATCCACTGGTTGATTGGTGGCAGCATGAAGAGAGGAAACGCATCCAGAGGGTGGACTTGTGTTTAGGGAAAATAAACCAAGGACACTGGGTGGACGTGACAAGTGGCAATAAGTATTAACGGCAATACTTGGCACAATGCTTTCCCTTCTTAGCTGTAGAATTTTGCATGACCACTCAGTACTGTGCCTTGTTTGGATCTTCAGTAGATTAGCAGGCAGGGCGAGAGGAAGTCTGTTGCATGTTTTGGAGGTACTACACATTTTTGAATTTTTTAAATTTAAAATCTTTTAATACCCCATACTGGCAATGACAACTCAGTGTCTTACTAAGAATCATATTTTCCAAATGTGCTGGGCATTAGAAACAAAAAATGAACTCCAGAAGGCTTGGCTTTTGTTACCCTGTACATCCAAGCTTTTACTAGATATACTTTACCTGACCAACACAGATATTTAAAATGAAATGTTAAGGTGAGCGTACACTCATTGTCACACTCATTGTTAGCATTTTAATACATTCCTCAATGTACTTCTGATAATCAAGTATGTAGAGTATTCTAAAATAGACTTCCTGGATTTCATGCCATCATTGTATTTTGGAACTAAACATCTATTTATCATTTAAACTATTTCTGTCCTGCCTTTCTCCCTGAAAAGGACCCAACTTTCCAAAGTATGTCTTAATGTCTAATAATGTGCATGCAACATGATTCCATTTAAGTTTTAAAAAGTGAACTTTGCAAAATTCTGAATCCCTTTAATATCACTATCAAACCAGTGAAGGGGGATAAATGCAAGCAATCATATGTAATACAGCAGTAAACATTCTCGATGTTTTCAGTGCATGTAACATAACTAGTTTGACAAGTTTGTGGGCATACAGGTCTTGCTGCTTAAAAGGTATTTCTGTCTTTGCACTTCAAGGTTGGATGATGTTTCTCTACAATGGTTTGAGGAGTCTTTAGACAATGAAAGCATAACTTCATCGATGATTAACATACATTTTCTTTGATCATACATTTAAAGGTTGCTTTTTATTAGCTGCTACTCTGCTGAGTGGCAGCTAATTCTTAAGGAAAATGAGTAGTTATACTGCACTAACATTCCATATTGTTCTGGTTCTCAGGATCCGTAGGTGTATAAATCCTCAGCAGCAGCACCAATGTAGAAAAGCAGAGAGAACATGAATCCAGAGGCAGAAACTGTAGAAAATCTGTTTTCAATGTATAAGGAAGTTCTAGGCTGCAAACACATTCTATAATTTTGAGTTTGCAGACATTGGAAATACAGTGGGGCTTGGAAAAATATTACTAGTCCATCTCTGGTGCCTGCCCACCTCAATTTCATGGCAGGGCAGCAGGGGCATGAACTGATACTTGAGTTGTGTTGGATAAGGACCCATGCATACAGACTACTTTGGTCTGTACTTTGGTAAACAGAATATACTGGGTTGGTGTAAAAGAGGTTTAGTCCCACTAAGAATTTTTAAAGCTATTTCTCTTCCTTAACAGGAGCACAAAATTTATATTATATAGGTTGGAGCCTAGCTTAAATAATTGATCCTACATAGACTGGATATCATCACCCAGCAAACAGGATATCAATTGAAAATTTCCTAGTTCCAGGTTCAGAGGCTCCCTAGAGTTCCCTTTTGCCCTGGGGAAACCTTTGGGAGCTTCAGGATGGGGTGGGGAGGGGAGACTTTAATAGACAAAAATCATAGCCAGATCATTGCCACTGGAATCAGAACCCTTAGTAGTGATGTTTGGTTATTAAAAGGCTTCAGCTCCCTCCTAACCCTCCCCCAAAACTTCCCCAGGGCAAAAGGGTGCTTAGGAACCCTGAAGAAGGTTATGGCGCTTTCAATTAATTTAAACAAATTATCCTGCTCACAGGATGTTGATGTCATCTTACTTGTGTGGTGTAAAGTTGAGCAAAAGGATTTCAGCCATAGTTTTTAAAGTAGCTTTTCTAATTTGAACTTCTAATTAGTTCAAATTAGAAGTTCCAAATTAGAAGTTCCATAGGGAAAGATGAAGGGGCAATCACGTTTTAATACAACTTTTACAAATTGTAAAGAAAAACAAGAAGGTCAAAACAAAAGAATTTGGGATTGAATATATTTGAGCCTAACAGGGCAAACTGGTATTTCAAAAAAGGAAACAGTCATAATTAACAAATTCAGAGTACTTGCAATGAATAATTTTCCTTTGAACATCCAGACATGTTTTCTGCTGTCATTTTTCTGCATCCTTTCTCCCATTAAAAAAATCCAAATATGTGTAACAGGCCATGTTCAGTACAAAATTTCTGCATATTTTTTTTTCTGAAAGTAAATGCATCATGTTAGAATAAAATCATGTTTAATTATAGTTTTTAGATTAAGAACTGTGGTGAATTACATCACATCAAACAATGACATTTCAGTCACTTGAGACGAACCTGAAGTGGTATGATCATGTATGTGTGGAAGAGGAAGTTAAAATTGTTCTGAAGGAGAAGTGATCACAGGACGACAAGTGTCACTTGCTGTTTTTGCTGTGGCACCTTTTAAGGCAAAAGCTTCTGTTTAGTTTTAAAGTACAACTTTTATTTGGCAGTGTCTCTTGCATCAAAATAGCAAGCTAAGTTCCTTTTGTATGAGGTTCTTTCTCTGTTACTTTCCAGCTCCAAGCTGCGATGTTTTACAGTATACAGGTTCTGCTTTAGTCACTGTTGCATTTTAACTGAATATACAGTTGCCGAAGGTGCTGCAAAGCACAAAAGCAACTGTTGGGTTCAGTGCAAAAAGGAAGTGCACTGTAGTTGGAGAAGTTTCTGGAAAGCCTCTTGCAATGCCCCCAGGAAAGAATCTCACTATGAAATTGTATGAAACTGAGTTTTCACTAACAAGGTGCCAAGTTGCATTCTTGACAACTGTGACATTTATGCCTTTATTACTGGATTACCCATCCACCAGCATGCTTCTGAATATTTTATTTATATGATAGATTTATTTCCCACTTTTCTGCCCCATATTTTATACAGTCTTATACACATGTACGTATGACAGTTAACAGTAAAATAAAACTATCACAATATAAAGCAGATTGACTCAAATGTAAGATTAAAATACAATATTGAAACCTGATTATAAAGGGACCTGTGTCCAGTTGATGGATCTTGACAATCATGTGCAAGTAATGAAGATCTTTATTTAAAGCAATAAGCAAAATATAACTTTACATATATGTGTGTAATACATGTCTGTATAAAATTAATTGCTGCTATTATATGTTCTTTGCTTTGCATTCACAATTTGAAGTTTGCTTCTGTGCAGAACCATCTCTTTTGAAATCTTCTAGAATGAGAGCTTTTTACTGTTGGTCCCCTCCTCCTCTCTTCTATAGCACACACACCTTCTCAGTGTATACATTTTGGATGATATAGAGGCAGAAAAGTTAAGTTAGTAGGTACTTGTGTTAGTCTGTTTATACCAGAAACAATAATGTAGCACCTGTAAGACTAACTAGTTTTTGTTTTTCATAAGCTTTTTTGTGTCCAAGCACACTTCTTCAGATGGAAAGATGGTAGAAGTTATTGAACAGCAAGTGCCAAAAAGGGGAGGGTGGATCTCCTATCAGTGCATAGAAGACTACTTGAAGAATAGCACAGTAGCAACTGGTTTTACGTTATTATGGTCTCTGTGCAATTATGCTAATGACTGCAGACTAGTGAGTTGCACAAAGGTGTTAGGTGAGAAGGCATCTGCATCTCCTGGAACTCTGCAGAGAAAAGTACCCAAAGGATAAGACAGAAGACAAAACATATTTGAACAACTAATTCATGAATGTCCCTGTACAACCCATTTAGCAAATATGCCAGATGGTTTGTCTCTCTTGGAATGTGCACTGCAAAAAGATTAGATGTGCTGGATGCTCCAATGTCAAAGAGGTAGTGTGAGGTCCACTAGTTTCTTGTACCTGGTGTCATGGCCTGTTTAGGTACCAAGCTGTCAGTAGTGACATGAGCTATAGTACTAGTAAGCAGTGGTCAAAAGATTGTGCAAGCCTTCAATATTGCCAAGAGTTCTATCAATTTATATAATATTACATTTGTCTCATTGTTCAGCAGCTCTGAATATGATGCTGGAACAGTGAGCTCCCCATCCTTCATTGGAGGCCTGTCCTCACTCCTGTTGGCTTTGGTACAACACTCACTGAAACAGCATGTCCTTTCTGGTCCACCATCAAAGGGACAGCAGGGCTCCACATTGTGCTGTAAGTTGCACGTTGAGGGCTGGGTTGTAATGAGTCAGAAGCCAACACTGGAGGAGCCTCATTTGCAGCCTGGCAGTTTGGAGGACCAACACCATAGATGCCCTCAGGCCGGAGCAACTTCGGCATGTGAATTGCCATGCCAATGGGACAATAATTTTTTGAGCTAATGCCACAAGTCATTGTGCATACTTGTGTGGTCCCATAGCATTTTTACAGAAAGTAACCTGACACCCATTAAGACAGTGTCCTGATCTGATACCAGATATGAATTCTTCACATTTATATGGAGTCTGAAATTGTTCAGTAGAGTTGTCAGGCAAAGACCTTCCTCTTCAGGCAGGTTTTAAAATAGTAAATGTCTCAATAATACTTGTTTATTAACTTACAGATTTTTAAAATGTTTTCAAATATTGGTTTTTAATATTTATATGGTATTCTAAAAATTCTTATTTGTTTTATAATTGTAGTTGTTGTGAGCTGACTTGGGTCCCCTATGGAAAGAAAAAACGGAGCAGAAATAATATAAATAATGATGTTGAGATGGTACAATATTTGGTATACACCAAGGTAAGCCAATCATGTATGGAAAAATGACAAAAGCATCCTTCCTTAGGTACACCATTACTACTTCCATTGTTTTTGTGAAGACTCTCAGAGCTGCTGACAGTTTAATGAGAAGTATACAGTACTGATAACAAACCTCTGCAAGATTAAACTACAAAACTGCTAATAGAAGGGATGCAGTGATGTGGGTTTTGCAGATAAAGGAGAATTGGAAAGTTTCCCAGTGCTGAAAATGAATATTATCTGATTTAGCGTGTTTGAAATGTTATCTACAAACACATTGAAAGCTTCATGTGGAGATTGTTTTGTTGGAATGTCTGTAATAAAAAGAACAGCATATACCTTTAAAAAAGGTGTTCTTTCAGGTATAGTCATTTTTTGGATAAATATGACCGCACTTGAAAGAACACTATTTTAAGAGGCACAATATCTAAAGAGAGCTGTACCTGGGACTTTTCCCCCCTCACAGGTAGCACCTTTTGCTTCATTCATTGACTCTGCACTACTTTTCACTTCCATTTCAAGCTGAGAAAAATCTGATTCAGTAAAACTAATTGAACATTCTGTTTCACTAAAAGATGGACATGAGTCTGTGGGAATTTATCACATTTTGTCTCAGTACTTGCACTTGAAACTGAAGAAAGATATTCTGTAAAGTGGAAACAAGCTGAGCAATGTATGTATTTTTCAGTCAGCTGAGGACAAATACACCATGTACAAGTCTAGTTCAGACCCAGTCAGAAGCCAATTGAGTTGTGCACAGGAACAAGTTGTTGTATGTTATTTTTCAGTTTCCCCAAGGGCAACTGAGCTCCAGAGTTTGTCAATGCTTATTCTCCTTAAAAAACTAGCTTATAGATGTTCATATCCCATCTTTAGGATATCTAACATGATTGATTTCCCAGACGATGAATAAATATAGATATACTGTATATGGTGTGGAAAATTCTTCATCCCTCATTGCTGGAGCGATATATAGTGATGTGTAAGTAGACATCCTTTAAATCTGACATTGCAGACTAATAAGTCTTCCTTCAAAAAAGAAAGGCTAGCTTCAGTCATGATTTGAAAATACTTTGTGGTCACAAAAGCTTTAACACCTCAAAAGTCCACAAATAGGATGAAGGTCTCTGTACTTCCTCAATAACATAAAGTACCAGGAATAGTAGGCAATAAGGTTTTTATGTCTCAGAACCTGCTAGAGTCTTCTCCATCAAGATGCCTATCTCCATCAATAATACCTGATGGATGGTGGTATCAACAAGAGATTCCTGTGCAAAAGCACTGGGCTCCAACTCATGGTGTGTGTCTGTGTGTACATGAATAGACCTCTCTCCAGCTGCCACCACGAACACTGTTCCATCTCTCCTGGTCACCTCCATCCTCCCCAACCCCTTTACAAGTTCTCTCAGCACGGCTTGCTCGCTTTAAACCTCCATGTATGTGTATGTGAGAGACACTTGCTTTCCATAGAGAACCTGTTCTCTTGGTATGGTACCTCTAGGGAAAGAACAGACAGGTACCAAGTGAAAAAATGAAAAGACAAATGTAAGTGGGGAAATAAAAATGAAAATTTTAATCAACCCTTTTAGCTTCAATGAAATTAGTTTGAAAAGTGCTTTCTGTCAGAATGCAATGAAAGCTTACAAAAACAATTAAAATGTATTAATGTATTATTGCAATGCATTAATGGGACTAACAGAAGTCCCATGCCTAGCTTGCACTATAAAAATGTCAATTCTTATGTCAAAATAATGTTTGGAGCAAAATGGCTACTACCACCAAACTGTTGGAGTGTCTAACCATATACAAATACCTTCTACCCAATGTTATTTTGGGAAGCTGGTTAGAGATAAAAATGCTTAAGTATCTGGTAGTGCCACTTGACCATCAAGTTCAGTAGGGACACACCAAACCCAGTAACTTATTGATCATATAATGGGAAATGATTTTTTTACTACTTTCCTTAAATGCATAAGGCAGAAAGAAAAGGAAAGGACTCCATGGGTCTGAGATGCAAGAAATATGAATTTCTACTTCAGACACAAATCAGAGGGAAGACAGAAATGTATAATTATAACTATCCCTAAATTTGCCTTGATACTGAAGCAAAATGTGTCTTTATGCACAGTTCATAGCAGCTATGGCATTTCGGAACCATGAAACTGCACGAATTCGGGCATTACAAAACAATATTAAAAATATTAATTATTAGCTTAAGAGCATCAAACATTCACTTGTTTTTAAAACTGTTCAATTTTACATATTTAAATCTTGACCAGCTTAAAATGAAACATGTCAGAGGTTCCTAAAAGATGTATAAATTTTCATCTTGAATCTGCTAAATGTAAAGAAATGCAGAAGTGTATGTTTAAATTGCAGGTAACCTGAGCTTTAGTACAATCAGCTCTCTCGTTATTCAAATATAATTTTTCCCAACTCAAAAATTAAGAGTTCTATCATAAATACTAAAATGCAGCTAACATTGGTCTTTTAGATTTAAATGTGGCAGGTAATTATATTAATAGAACCAACAGTTTAATATAAATACATAGAGTAAAATGGCACTAAGACACTCAATCCAGTCATAAATACTTCTGCAGAATATTTTCTATGCCAGAGCAATTTTCCTACAACCTTACCATATACTCATTGTGTTTGTGACTTTAAACTGGCACGGTGATGGGCATGTGGTGGTCTAAGATAGTCAGCATGTCTCAGGTGGAGGCTATTAAACATATGTCTTCCAAACATGTGAGGGAACAGATCTATTTTCAACAACTCAGCACCTGTGGCCTCAACAATCAGGCTGCAACTTCAAATGGGAATTAATTTACAATTGATTCAAAGAAAAAATAATAATGTTGAAGCACTGTATCAATCAGTTGCACAAACTCTTTAAAAGGCTATTCTGCATTTCTTTTCTACAATTTTATCACATATTATTGCACAAATTAATATTGAGGTTAAGTGCTTAATCCTCCCCCAATTTGCTAAGGTTACATTTAAAACAATATTTACTTTAAAATTATTAAATGCAGTGCCCTGAGAATATTATAAATTCATTAAACAAGCCCTTCATATTTATTTTATTTACAGTGTCCAATCTGAGACAATTTTGTTTTACATGAAATTATATGGATACTGTTTCACAAAATATTTTAGGAAAAAGTGTATCATTTGCATCTGAGTAACCAGTCTCTTGCCTAGATTAAGTGTTTTTCAAGCTTTCTAAAGTAAACAAGTAACTTAAATTAGTTACAATACATGGACTGTTTTAGCACATAAAATGTTGAAGGCTTTGAGCATTTGTATATTTTGGTCAAAGCAGAAAATATGTACAATTTTTACATTTTGGCAAAAAAATGAACCAACATACTCTGATTTTGTTCAATTATAAATCTATAGTCTATTTCATACACTAGAATATTTTCCTTTGCAGTATTTTCTTGATTTGTTTCATTCAGAAAAGCAAATACAAAGTTAAGTGCTGATCTAGGTGCTGGAAGAAACCAGCCTCTTTGGACTAAATCAAACCAACCTCACTTGAAAGAGTAAATAGCATTATCTGTTGGTTTTCTATTCTCTTCCTCATACCATACAGAATTAAAATCCAATGTCATGCTACTGGGAGTTCTCTAGTGTATCTCCCATTGCCCCCCAGTATCACCTAGAAATTCGATCTGAAGAGGTTCCAGGTTTTCAGAAATTTGGGAGGCTGCCCCTTTGATGGCTGTTGACAGAAACAGTTCCGCCAGCGGAATGACATTATTGGATTCAATTGACATAATTTTATATAAGAAAAATTCTCATCCAGTATCCTATGCAACACATTCCTACAGTTTCATCAACACTAAAGCTTTGTGTATTAAATTTGTAATATAATTCTTAAATCAGTTTATGAAGGAAATATTCACGCAATATTTGCATATCTTTAAACAGGGCTCAGTTAAAAATATATATATTCTCTATATCTCTTGGTTCAATGAAGACTGCTATCCTGATAGCAATAATTCAAGCACAGAAAGTTGCAGAACAAGGGACAGATTTCAGTTCTTCACTCCATAGACAGAGTTCAAATTGCAACAATGTTTAACATAGATCCCAGGTATCAGCGATGGCTCAACTGTTAGAATGTCTTGTATATCATGTCCCAGAATAACATGGATATTTGTTTTCAGTTTGATTATTTTACACAAGTACAACCATAGTCATAACTATCTAGGAGGAATTTGGCAACACAGTTTCATGTCTCAGGTGAAGAGAGATGGCCTCTTAAGGCTTCTTTGAATAATAGTCTTTAGGGAATAAAATAAGAAGACTGTGCTCACCTATGTAGGGTATCTTCACCACAAATTAAACACAGAACACTCTCCCAACATGTATTATAAATATTTACTGAATTATCTAAAATTGCTTATATGCAAAATCAGAAGGAACTTATTAATCTTTAAGGCAACAGAGCATCAAGGACTAAAGCTCCAAGAATAAATATAAACATCAGAAAATGTTACTGTGGTGTTACCTGTACAATCACCAACACACGTTTACATCTGTTAGCCACCTGTAAATAATATTTTGAAGTACTGACACCAGTTCATAGCATGAGTTTCACATCAGTTTTCAACATTTCACTGAATGAGGTAAATCGATCAGGTAAGATTCTCATCTTTACTGTCCCATCAGCTCCACATGAGAATATGTGATTTGCTGGTCCTGTCTCAATCTGCATGACTCCTGTCCCAAGATTTCTGAAAATAGACTGCCGAGAATGCTCATTGATAAACGTATGAAGAAGACTGAAGTTAGACAAACTCCATACCTAAAAACAGAAGAAGAAAAAAACAATTTGTTTTTTCCTTCCCTTGGGGACACAAAGATGAACACTGACATCTAATGATATTAGAATTAATTTGTAAATATTTTTGAAAATTGTTTGCCCTGATCAATCCCTGAAACGATAAGAGGTAGAAACCTGCATAGATACTACTGAGTTGGTTATATCTTTTTTTTTTCCTGAGTTCTCTTTTTATTTTATGGGATAGGGGAAAAGGGGGCATGGGATAAACAGGGGGTGCAATTCAACAAACATTTTAAGATACTCATTCTCATTTGTTACATTTTCACTGAGTTGGTTATATCTTGAAGCCAGTGCCTGAGAGCCACGGGCGAGTGTGTCTCCAAAGCTCTTGGAAACAAAAAGAACTAGAAATTCAAAATTTTGCATGGGTGTTTCGACTCGTTATATATTGTCCGAAATCCTGATGCTTGAAATAAACTGACTGAATCCACTGGGATTTAATAGGCCAACTCCTCCTCAAAGTTCCAATGATTCAAATGGGCCTAGTCTAAATCTGACTTGCTATACTCAAGTGCTTGAGTAGGTTGATTTGAACCAACTGATCTTACAGAGTTGGCTCACCAAATCCCCACTGATTCAGTAGACCTTCTCTAGTGTGACTTGAGACCCATGGGGTCACGAAGAGTCGGACACGACTTAACGACTAAACAACAACAGTGTGACTTGCTACACAAAGCAAGAGGACTTTAGCCACTGAAATTAGTTCTCTCATCTTCCTAACTGGGCCCCTTGATAATCAGCTTTTAGAACTGCCCATTCACAGACAATTTCCTTTCTTAAACTGGTCCAAACTGAATGAGTACTAATGTAGACAGATTAATGTGAAAGATGAAACTGAGGAGAGAGCAGTGGGATTAAGATTGGGCATGGGTGGAGGACAATTAATGGGGTTTCTAGCTTGGGTTAAAGTATTGGAAGATGTCTATGTAGGGGCCAGTTTATCAATAGAAGGACATTGGCTCACATCCATGAAGGTCCATTCTGATCTGCAGAGAAGGAGACATCCAGGGATTAACTCATTCCTGGATAGCTCCCTTCCCACAAATTGAGAACTGACTTAACTTTCATGTGCTCATTTGAACTGTAGCTTGGCTTGTTTTGTGACCCAGAGTGATCTGTTTTGTGTCAGTGTGCTTATTTCAGCTGTCCAGTCAGTCTGATAATGGGTGAAGTTCTGGGGTGAAAGGAGAAGAAAAAGAACAGCATAGAGGGGAAATGTTGTGGGAGGAAAGGGGGCACTAAAGTGAGGACGGAAGGGATTAAAAATAACATTGTGTTGAGACAAAAACGCCTAGAACACTCGGTAAGGAATGGAGCTAGCAGGTTTTCAACCAGGGGAAAGCTGGGTACATATATAAGATATACTGTTAAAACAGTGTCATATGAAAATTGTAACTCATATATTTAGTTACTGTTTGGTTTACATTATGATTCTTACTAACATGTAACTTAAACATATAAAGAAAAATTGGGTGTAAATATTTTATAATAAATAATGGCCAGAATCCTATCAGGCATGTACTCCAGCGTAAGTGCAAGTGTATAAATTGTGATGAATTGCCACTAATTAATGAGTTGGCACTTGCATACTTGATGATATGCCAATTAAATGATTCAATGCATGATCAGGAATGTGAGCAGCAACTCATTAATTTGAAGCAATTACACTCATGCCAGCCTCTATGGCTAGGCCTGTTAAGATTTTGGTTAAAAGCTATATGAAAAAAGAGTTAGTGTTAAGGATAAAGCACACAAGAACAAAATACACATGATTATAAAGAACATATATAATCTAATGATCCAACATAATTGAGACACAGTATCAAAGGCTAAGCAAACCGAATTACCAATATATTACCTTTATATTTCCTTCTGCAGATCCTGTAACAAAATATTCTTCTGTAGGATCCACAGCAATTGCTTTAATGGGAGAATCATGACTCTGGAAAAATTGTCGTTGCTGCTTTTGGCGAAGATCTATTAAACAAGTATAGCCTTTTCTTCCACCTGATATTAACAGCTGATGTTTGGGGGCATATGCTAAGACAGTTGCTCCAGTATCATGGCAGGTAAAAGCTGCAATCCAAAAGAAATTAGATAATGCTCTTACTAATTTTTAGTCTTGCATATATTATCCAGTTACTTTTGTGAGAGATTCAGATGTTGGGGACAGAACCCTTGCAAGGATGATTGTGAACCTTGGTATATCCATGGACTGCAGATTTTATCTGCTGTAAATCCGAAATGCATGAAGCAGATGACATAGGCTGACATAGCTTATTCAAGCTACTCAGTAGAAGAATATCAGAAGACAACAAATTGTTAATCTTTGTAGCTTTTAAAAAATATATCATGCTCCCCAAGAACCCTGATTAAGACCCAAAGTTACATCAACCTGGAAAAGAGAAAACTATGTGCAGCTTTCTGTACTTTGTTCCCTTAACATGTCATTCATTAATCAGAACCAAATTTCCAGATTGCAACTGAGGAGAAGGACAAAAGCCAACTGGAAGGCAGGAACATTTGTATTATCCGTAAATGAAAAAGGATTGTACCACTGGAACTGCCCACTTTTTCTCTGTTGCTCACCAACTTACCTTTTGTTCAAATTCAGGGGGTTTTTTTGGGCAGATTTTTGCTTGTTGTGAAGTCTTTTTGATTTCACTTTATATTTTTGCCTTCTCTAATTTAGTCTATATCTCTCCATCAGTTTTTGAAGCTACTCCTGGTCATATTTTTTCTAAGCTTTCTGGGGCTAGATGCTTGTTCATTTTAATGGAATCAGCTTTTGTATTTTTAAAAAACTTGTCTCTCCCCATTCCCCAGCTCCATTTCTAGTTTAGATTAATCTTCTTCAGCTGACCACACACAAAGCTGTCTCCCCAACTTTAGATAGCTTAATTTTCCTTTATATCTATTTTCTTTAATTTTTAACTAGTGCTGGCTGGATACTTCAATGAGTTAACTATCTGGCTGTGGATTCCTTGCTGTTCCTCCAGGGAGAGCAAGATACATAGCCTCAGAAGAAGGGAAAGATAAACCACTGTGTTCTACCTAGAAAACTCAGGAAAGAGTTCACATAAGTAAAAACTGATTTGACAGTATGCAATTGTTATTAATTATTTAATTAGTACAGGCTAATGGAAGTTTTAGGAGAATATATAAAACTCTATTATGTCTCTTATCCTTATATTCAATTTCTATAATTTTTGGACTTATTTTCATGCATTCTTCCTATTTATTACTCATTAGTGACTTTGCATATTCTTATTATTCATGACTGAATAAATCAAACATTTCACACTTATTTCCTGACTGATTTTTTCTGTTTAATAATAACTTACTGAAGTAACAGCTGAGCTAAAATAGAACCTGTTTGTGCTATATTGTTAAGTGACATATGATAATTATCATCACCTGGGCTTTGGGAACAATATCAAGAAATTTCATGCAGTATTATAAGCAGTTGCAGATTTCAGAAATAACACCATCAGAGCTACAAAAATGGCAATATTAGAAATAGCATATATACTATGTCAATAATTGATACAAGTTTTAACCCAAACCCTAAGTATCTGTTATATAGTACCAGTCAATGTTTTTATAATTTTTATTTATTGTGCCTGGTATTTTTAAAATCATAATCATAATAATCTAGAGAAGTAATTCCAGAGAATAACCAGAAAAGAAGTTTGTTAAAATTAAGCAACATGGGAGGAGTTTTCAGCAATGGAATAAACATCCCAAATGAACTCTTCCACATCATCTTCTTCATGTTCATTGTTTATGGAATCTCATCTTTGAAACAATCACACTTCATGAACTTTTGCATATTTTAGTTACTTAAACTAGGAAACTGCTGTAAATGAATTACAATTAAGACTCTTTAGCAGTCTATGAAGAAGTTAAACTAAGGTAAGGTACCGCGGTGCCTCGCTAGACGATGATAATCCGTTCCACTGAAATCACTGTTTAGCGAAATCATCGTCTCCATTGGAATACACTGAAATCTGTTTAATGCATTCCAAAGGGGAAGAATTGTCATCTAGCGAAGATCGGCCATAGGAAAGCCACTTTGCGAACCGCCGATCAGCTGTTTAAATAGCTGTCTTGCAAAGCTTAGGTCCCAAAAAAACCCGTTTTGCGAGCACGGAGGGAGCTGTCAAAATAGTTGTCTAGTGAAAATTGGTTTGTGAAGCAGGGACCAAACATGGTTCAGCGAAATTCCCCCATAGGAATCACTGTTTTGCGAATCGCTATAGCGATCGCAAAAAGTCAATGTCTAGCGAAAAAACTGTCATGCGGGGTAACTGTCTAGCGAGGCACCACTGTAATATAATACTGCATAGAATTTCTTGCACCCTGAGTCTAACATTTCCTCTTCCCTGCTAACAAAGAAAATTGTAAAAAGACAGTGTTTTTGAATATCACTTAAAAGATACAAGGGTTTTCCATATCTATGTATGTAGTTTACATTTTTTGTATACTTTTACTTATACTTTTAAACTTACCATGTACTAAGCTACTGCTTGGTGCAACCAGAGTGTCCCATAGACAGATATTTCTAAAGAACAAGAACGCAAAGAGAACCAATGATGTCATTACTAACTTGATATAAGGATAATAGTTTTCATTCATGTTGGTTATTTCAGTCATCGTGTGTACAGTATTTGTAAGCAGAACAGAATAAAGTGAATATGGAACAACTGTGGCAACTGCATGGGAGATGATGCTGGAGTCTGCTGCTCCACCTCTGCCACAAACAGGAACCTCCATACGACTGGAATTCCTTTTATGAAGTTAAGGGCAATTCAGGCTGTTTTCTATTGTGGGTCAATCATGTCATTTCTGAAGTACCAGAAGTCCTGTCTGTCCAGAACTCTTTCCACTGTATGCTTCATGTTAGCTTGAGTGTGACTGCGGGAAAAACAACTAGGAAGAGGAGCTCCAAAAGGCAAGATACCGAGTCCATTGTCAGCGCTTCCTCATGGTTTGCCCGTCTCCGTGGTCGGTATCTTCAGCAAAACACCCATTAGAAAAAACACCCTGATCACAAGAAGCACCCAAACTCCTGAAATGAACAAAACCCGATCCCACAGCTACAAATACTCAAGAGTCCCACACACTACACCAGAACACAGACAGAATTCTAGCTCCTGTCCTTTGAAGATGCCAGCCACAGAGACTGGTGAAACATTAGGAAGAAAACATGGCCAAACAGCCCGAAAAACCCACAACAACCAACAGATCCTGGCCATGAATGCCTTGAAGAACACATTGAAGTCTAAATCTTGCCATAGCACAAATTCAACTGTGTGGACTACAGTGCATGCAAGGAATTTGTTACTATGGTGTGTATGTAATAATAGTTTTGGAGAGGAAAATCAAGCAAACAAGCAAACAAAATGATTCTACTATAGACTTGATAGGGATATGTTGTTCAGGTGTTCTTTAGTCCAAGTGCCAGAATTCTCTAAGGCAGAATTTAAGGCAGGATTCCAGGAGTTCCAGTCCACAGACCCTGACCTTCAAACATTTGTATTTCCCTCACTTGGAGCAGGGCCTAGCTTTATAAGACTATATTCTAGGCCTTCATTTTCTGCTACAATGTTTCCTGGGTTCTTCAGGAGACACTCTGTATAGAACCTAAAGGGCTGCATGACACCCAGGAAGCATTGCAGGCCTAGAATACGGCCTCAGAGGCCCTGATCTAGATGAAATACAGGTGTCTGAAGATGTGAGCCTGTGACTGGAACTCCCAGCATTCTGTCTGGAGAATTTTTGAGAATTTTGGGAGAGGGAGTGAAAAAATCTAAATGGCACACACTAACACTTTATATTAGCTACCTCTCTGCTACACAATGGAGACAATGAAAAACTATTTGTGTGAGCTGGGGAATGTTCCAGAACAGTGTGTGATATGACCTTGTGCAAGAGTTTCCTGCACTGTGAAAGAAAAAACATCTTCCCCTAAAACAAAGCCACTAAAGCATACAGTTCAAAGTAACTAGCAACTTTTTTACACCAGATTTACCATTATGACCTTGGAAGCAAAATTATTACCTGTTGTCAGTAGACTGCCCAGCTGTGGCTATTAAAGATGAAGAACTGATGAAAACAAAATCACTGGCTGTTTTGTTATGGCATTGCCATGTCTGAAAATTATAATATACAATTAATAAGCAAAGGTATGTTAAAATTAATATGGGATTATATTTTTCATATCATTTGTATAAACAGTTTTATTTCATCAGACAAAACGCAGGCAGTGCTTTGTATTAATTCCAAATGTAACCAGTTGTCAAAGGAGCTATTCAAAGTATATCAAGTGCCCTTTTTACCTCTTTTAATCGACCAGCAATGAAAATCACCCTTTCCAAAGCCTATTTCAGAAACAAATTGCAGTATGACATGCATTATAGTCTTTGTTTTGGGAGGTCTTTTTGCCTACTGAAAATAAGAAACGCAAATAACACCAAGAATTGTGCAATTTTTAAACCAAGTATTATCATAACAGCAACAGACACTTATCCTAAACCAATGAACTAGTTGTGGCCAGAAACCTGATTTCTTATTCAACTAAGATTATAAGCAAAGTCTGACAACTAACATATTGATTTATTTATTTGATTTATACCCCGCCCATCTGTCCTATAAGACCACTCTAGGCGGCTAGTACAGTGCCATCGTATTGGTAAAAGCAAAATAAAAAAGCTTTGATATTTATTTTATTATTATTATTTTTTTTTGTATTTTATTAAAGCCTAGCTCACCAGATATGGTTTGGGTGTGCTTCCATTATGCAGACAATTCCTCCAGTTTGTTTGGTAAAGACTTATATATCCATCACCATCAACAATTCCAAACTGAAAAAAACAAACAATTATATAAACAATGCCTCTTAGATTAAGGTATCATTTATATTATCTGGCTTCTTCATATGAAACCTGTATCTTATATTGTAATTTTTTATTTTCACAAGAGAAGAAGGCACACCACCTTATTGCCTTGATAATTGAATCTCATCCGTGTAATTCTGGAGTTGCCACCAGACCGAAAACATGTAATTTGCTGAGAGTGTCCCCATTCAAACATTCTCACACTGCCATCTTGGGCTCCAGTCAGATCTGCAGTAGGAAAAAACACAAAAAAACTTTGACACTTCTATTCTATTTCTTGCAGTAGGAAAAAACACAAATGACTCTAGGAGGTATTTAAAATGACTCTAAAATAACACTTTCATTTTAAATTTGATAACTACAAAGATTTAGTGTGTTTTAGGGATCTGAAGCATAAGTAGGACATTTACGAGAAGTTACACATTTTCACAGAATATTGTTATATTGTCCAAGAACCAATAAAAACTTACAATAAATGATTCTTAGGAGAAGACTGGCTTATTACACATCAGATATAAACTCTCTACCAACAGTACCTGGATATGCGTAGTATGACAGATATCTTTTTGGCATCATTTTTATTTTCTCTGCCTTTAAAGTGTCTAATGTTGCCTTGATTTTTTAAAAAAACTGTTCCAGTTTTTCATCTTTTTAATTGAGCTTTTGCTATCTTTATCTTTTTTTATAATGCACAATGCTTACAATTCTTGGAATGTATTTTTAGAATGAAATGTATAAAATAAATCTGTACACCTTAAACTTACAGCGAAATGTTTAAATCTCTGAGACTTCAGCGTGACCTGAGGTTGACTCATATAACTTATTGGAACAGCAACCTAGAGTGCAGGAATGTGGTATACAGTGCAGGCACATAGTTCTACAGTTCCATGTCTCCTCTTAGATGGAAAAAGCATCAGACTGCATTTATGTATATGCTGCACTGAGATTATGGACTCTGTGCAATCTGATGACTGAATCAAGATATAGAAAATCTTTAGCTATTTAAAGTATGATATATTCTGCCATAAATAACTTATCAATTGACCAAACATACAGACTTTCCAGCTGTATATAGTTTTTAAAAAAGTTTAGCAACATTGAATTTTTGGACTTGACACTTCAATATAATTCATGCACAACATTAAGATATCTGGAAAATGATGAAACAGTAATATGTCCATTGGTTTACTCATATGACATCTTGCTAAAGACATACTGAACCTGCACAGTGTTTACAGCAGCCTGCTAACTTCACCTGAATATTTTACTGAGGACAATACTTGATTATTAAAGTCTTCTTAAATACTTGCTCTTTCTTCATTTTTTAGAAAACTGTGTTATGATTTTGTTATGCACTACAGTAATAGAAATATGACCCAAAAGTGCAGAGCTTACAATAAGGTAGTGTCGGATGGGAAGCCATTCTTCGGACATTGCTAATAGCTTTCTTGATCATCTGTTAAATAAGTAAATTTAAACAGATAAATTACAGAATCAATGAAAAACATACTGAATGCAGTTATTTGGTGATGTACAGCACTATCCTGTTTGCTTTTCTTCACGAATTTTGGATGGAAATATGGATGGAATTCAATGAAAATTAGATCCTTCCCTCAGCCTTAGCTCACATTTAATATCAAGAGAACTTAACCCAGGTGTGTGTAAGCTTTTTTTTCCACATGTCTACAGTTCTCAACAGAGACACTATAGACTGCAATCTTACCTCTTTTCTTGCCAATTCCTTTCTGATTCCATTAAATTTATTGGAATATACCTGCATATTGTAAGGTAAGTAAGACAGAGGCAGAAGCACAAGCATGTAAGAGAGAAGTAAACAAACTTTTACAAAAATTAAGTAGGAATGAAAAAGCTAGGCTTTGCATTTAATCAATCATAGAAAATTTAGCTGTGAAATAGTGGCATATTTCCAAATAATTGGAAAAAGTATTAAAAGACTCCTTGGATGAAGAGTACATACTGTAGCAGACACAAAGGTACTGACGTAGCTATGAATTATATTCACAGCAATTTAATCACTGCTTTCAGGATGTGTTATCTGACGTAGCTATGAATTATATTCACAGCACCAAATTTTTGAGAAGTCTTATAAATATAATAGTCTTCGTACAACAGAAATAGGTTTATCTTTTTTAAAATACTTTTGTTTTTAAACCCTCTTCAGTCTTGCTTTGCAGCATGTGGGGCCCATCTGTTTCACTGAGAGGAGTGGGGTAGCCCTGCCCTCCACCGCTATTGCCTTCAGCACAAAAACACGGCTATGTGAAGACAGAAAGGTAGTTGTATCCAGGTAGTCTCTCATGAGAGCCAGAACTCCATTTTCAGAACAGAGTTCTGGCTCATGAAAGAGAAGCTACATATATTGTGCACAGCAGTTGCCTCTTCAAACAGGTATCCTTCTGTTATTAGAGACAATGAGGAGTGGAGCTGGCATGTCCCCCTCCTTGAATGTGGGCTTCACACATTTTAAACCATGACTGAATGGGGTTGAAGTCTAAAATCTGTGAATGTGATACCAAAGAATCATTTTGCCATACTTAACATATATCAATTAATAGTTTACTGCTAAAAGAGTATCAGTTCTATGGCCACTATACATCCTGCTTGGGCAATTTAATCACTGCTTTCAGGATATGTTAGTAAGAGTCCTATTCATCTTTAAAAGGGGCAAACACATATAGCCTACGTTCAAGCATTTCAGACACTTCAAATAGTACAATTAATATAGAACAAAAACACAGTAGGCCATCATAATTACCAATTATCTTCGACCTGGCAGAGAGGCTCATCACTAGTACAATTAATATAGAACAAAAACACAGCAGGCCATCATAATTACCAATTATCTTCAACCTGGCAGAGAGGCTGGTCACCCTGCCTCCTGCCAGGAGTGTCTAATCCACTGTGAGCTCCGGAGCGATAGGAAGGGATTGCAGAGCCCGTGGCAGCAGCGGAACAGTGAGTGGTCAGTCCGGCTCCAGCGGGCAGGACCCTAGTTATCTCCACCCATCTATACCCTGAACATAATGAGGGGCTACATAAGGAAGGGGGAAATCAGCAACAACTATCTGAACCCCTGTTTCTGTTCACTGAAGATTTCACTGGAATCAAAGAGATTTCACTGAAGAAAGGAACCAAACGGCACAGGATCCTCAGTCTGCTCAGTGTTACTTTTGCTTTCTTGAGTATGTCCAGGAAAGACAAAAACAACCAAACATGGATCCAAAAATAAATTTGTAAATAAGTGCAACTGCACCTTCTAAGTAACTTGTTTCAAGATATACTGAGGCCAGTTATAACTGAACCAACTTAAGTTTTATTCTGCTCTTTGCTTGGCTACTAGAGTGGCCTTTTAGGCCAGATGGGTGGGGTATAAATCAATCAATCAATCAATCAATCAATCAATCAATCAATCAATCAATCATCAATCAATC